CCCCCCCAAGCACCAAGATGACAGAGCATCACTTGCCCCAGAGTCCCTATCTATACCTTGTGGCTAATAGCCACTGATGGACCTCTGCTCCATATGCTTATCTAATTCCCTTTTGAAGCCGTCCATGCTTGTAGCTGCCACTATTTCCTGTGGCAGTGAATTCCAAGTGTTAATCACTCTTTGGGTGAAGAAGTACTTCCTTTTATCTGTTCTAACCCGACCGCTCAGCAATTTCATGGAGTGCCCACGGGTTCTTGTATTGTGAGAAAGGGAGAAAAGTACCTCTTTCTCTACCTGCTCTTTCCCATGCATAATCTTATAAACCTCAATCATGTCACCCCTCAGTCGTCGTTTCTCCAAGCTAAAGAGCCCCAAGCGCCTTAACCTTTCCTCATAGGGAAAGTGTTCCAACCCTTTTATCATTCGAGTGGCCCTTTTCTGCACTTTTTCCAAAGCTATAATATCCTTGTTAAGGTGTGGTGACCAGAATTGCACACAGTATTCCAGATGAGGTCGCACCATTGATTTATATAGCGGCATTATGATATTGGCTGATCTGTTTACAATACCCTTCCTAATAATCCCCAGCATAGCATTGGCCTTCTTTATTGCAGTCACACACTGTCTCGACATTTTCAGTGAGTTATCTACTACAACTCCAAGATCTCTCTCTCCAAGAAAGAGTAGCATGCCCCCGCCAACTGCCAGCCCAGTTACAACCAGGCTTGGCATTTCAGAAGATGGAAGCCACTTTCAAACTAAAACCAGATACTAAGCTAACTAAATACCAAGCTGCCCAGAGATGTCAAAAGGGGGGGAGGGAAAGAGCAACAAAAACAAGTAAGCTAAAACATTAAACATATCTCCTCAGAGAGCAACGTACGCACGGCTGGAATGCTGCCCAGCCCAACCAGACGTCCCTAAGTAGTTTCGTGAGGGGGGAGGCCAAAAGGAGAAACCTGTCTGAGGGGGAACGCTGCAAAATATTTCCTCAATCTTTTCCTGGGTCTTCTGGAGGGTGCACAAAAGACCCCCTGGCCTAAGGCATGCAAGTGTATTGGGAGTCAAGACGGGGCAACTGGAGACAGCCAAGGAGGAAAGGAGGAGAATTTCCTATTGCAAACGTCTCTAGAAACTGGGGGTCGGGTAGGTGAGTGAAGACCAATGAACACTAGAAGAAGAAGAGATTGGATTTATACCCCGCCCTTCACTACCCAAAGGTGTCTCAGAGCGGCTCACAAACTCCTTTCCCTTCCCTTCCCCACAACAGACACCCTGTGAGGTGGGCGGGGCTGAGAGAACTCTGACACAAACTGCTCTTTCAGGAACAGCTGTGCCAGAGCTTGTGACTGACCCAAGGTCACATCAGCAGGTGCAAGTGGAGGAGAGGGGAATCAAACCCGGTTCTCCCAGATTAGAGTCCGCACACTTAACCACTGCACCAAACTGGCTCACTAGCGGGTAGCCCTGAGAAGATGTAGACCCATCGCAGCTTAAAACAGATCAAGATGGCTGCCGCCTTAGCCTGTCTCTAGGCGTAGAACACTGCAAGAGTCCGTTGGCACCTTAGAAGATTAACACGATTTGTGGTGCG